TGTGCTGAAACAAGATCACTCCCAGCAAAATGCTTTTGATCGCTTCGTTCATATCCGCCGGCCCTTTTCGCGCACCGGAGGCAAGTGCACATGAAGCTCTTGGGAGTTCTCCGAGGCTTTCGGGGACGTCTTAACCAGGAGCCTTTTTGGGGCTCTTGGGTGCCTCTTGGCGGCCTCCTGACCGCCTGTTGGGGGCCTCTTGGGGCCTTTAGGGACCTCTGGGGAGTTCCTGGGAGCCGCATTTGGCCGAGGGCTCGAAATGTTGTTTCCGTGTTCCCCCACTGGGGCCTCTCTTGGGGCGTTCTTTTGGAGCCTCTTGGGGCGATCTTGGTGAACTGCCGTCTTGAGGCGTCGGGAAACCGAAAAGGAGGAAACGCCCAAACCTGTCGAAAACCCAAGGAAAATCAATGAATGTTCCCTCTTGGGGCCCCGTTGGGAGAGCTTTTGGAAGCCTCTTGGGGCGTCTGGGGGCAATCTTGGGTATATTGGAGCGATCTTGTGGCAGAGCCCTCTTGATCTATCTTGGGGGCCTCTTGGGGGCCTCTTTGCCCTTCTTGGCGCTTTCTGGAGGGCCTCGAGGGCGGCGCCCACCCGACCCGACCCAGCCGGGGATCTCTGACCCGAACCGGCGGGAGACCGCCTGGGGTACTTTTCGTCAGGGGACCCCCAGGGGTGGGCCGAATTAGAGGCACGCCGGGACGCTTCGCCACTGCTTGATGGAGGACTTCTGCAGCCTGGTGGGCCACAGCGCCCAGCGGGGGTGCCCGCCCGACGCCCCCATCGCCGAGTGGGCCCGCAGGACAGCAGGGGCCGGGGGGGTGGGGCGGTCCAGAGGGAGCTCCGAGCGCACCCGGCGTGGGTCGGCGGCGAGCGAGGGGGGGAAATGAGAAGGAGAGGGCCTTCTGAGGGCGGCGGGGCTTCTCAGAAGGCCTTCGGCCTTCGGAAAGGTTTCGTTGTCGTCCTCGGGGAAGGCTTAGAACACTTCTCAGAAGGCTGGGGGACTCCCGAGCCCTCTGAGAAGGCCTTTTCCTTCTCACTTCCCCCCCCCCCCGCTCGCCGCCGAGTGGAGGAGGAGGAGGAGGAGGGAGGAGGAGAGGAGGGGGAGGGAGAGGAAGGCGGAAGGAGGAGGAGGAGGGGGAGGAGTAGGAGGAGGAAGGAGGATGAGAGGAGGAGGAGGGGAGGAGAGGAACGAACGTCGGAGCGCGCCAGGGGGGGGGGCGTGGGGGGTGGGTGGGCAGGCCTCCCGCTCCTCCCAGAGGGCTGCGGGGCTCCTCGGAGGCCCTCCGGCGGTCTGAGGGTGCCCCTGCCCCCCGCCGCCGGTGCCTCGGGGGAAAAGCACACGGAGCTCGCCCTCGCTCGGGCGCCCCCTCCCAGTGCATTCTTGTGCTCGGCTTCGGGCGCGCATGCCTCGCCATTGGGGGCCCAAAGAGTATACACCACCACCACGTCGATTCCTCCCCTCTCCTCTCTCCAGCGAGAGGGATGTGGTGGTGGTGGTGGTGGCGGTGGTGGTGGTGTGGTGGTGAGGTTTGGTGGTGGCGGTGCGGTGGTGGTGGTGGTGGCGGCGGCAGCGGCGGGGCGGGCGGCCGGCGGTGGCGTTGGAGGTGTGGTGGTGGTGGTTGGTGGTGGTGGGGGTGGTGGTGGTGGTGGTGGGGTGGTGGTGTGGTGGTGGTGGTGGTGGTGGTGGTGGGGGTGTTGGTGGTGTGGCGGTGGTGGTGGTGGTGGTTGGTGGTGGTGGTGGTGGTGGGTGGTGGGTGGTGGGGTCTGGTGGGTGGTAGGTGGTGGGTGGTGGGTGGTGGGTGGTGGTGGTGGGTGTGGGTGGTGGGTGGTGGGTGGGTGGGTGGTGGGGTTTTTTGGGTGGGTGGTGTGGTGTGTGGGTGGTGGGTGGTGGGGTGGTGGTTGGTGGTGGGTGGTGGGTGGTGGTGGTGGGGTGGTGGGTGTGGTGGTGGGGTGTGGGGTGGTGGGGTGGTGGTTGTGGTGGTGTGGGTGGTGGGTGTGGTGGTGGTGTGGGGGGGGTGGGGTGGTGGGTGGTGGTGGTGGTGGTGGTGTGGGTGGTGGGGGTGGGTGTGGTTGGTGGGTGGTGGTGGTGGGTGTGGGTGGTGGTGGTGGTGTGGTGGTGGGTGGTGGTGGGGTGGTGTGGGGTGGTGGTGGTGGTGGTGGTGGTGTGGTTGGTGGTGGTGGTTGTGGTGGTAGGTGTGTGGTGGTGGGTGGGGTGGTGGTGTGGGGGGGTGTGGTGGTGGTGTGTGGTGTGGTGGTTGGTGGTGGTGGTGGTGGTGTATATTTTTGGGCCCCCCATCGCCAGATTATCCAAGATGCTCCTCGATGGCCCTCGCCGAGGGAGGAAGAGAAACAAAAACGTCCGAGCGATGCCAAGACGGGGGAAGCACGGGGGAGTTCGTCAGAAGGCCGGCGGCCTCGCCCCTGCGCCTGCCGGGGAGGCCTGGCCCCACCCCCTCCGCCGCCCGCGCGCGGGGCGCGCCGCGGGGGAGCGAAGGGGGCGAGCGAGCGGGGGCAGGGCTCGAGCTGATCATCGAACAGGGGATAGGGGATCGACTACATCATCGAGTTGCCCCAGGACTGCGTTCCTCGTCGAGGCCGCGAGAGGACGCGCAGACATGCGCGCAGATCTGCGAACAGTCTGCGCAGTGTCTGTCGAGTCGGCGACAATTTGAATTGTGGGGTAAATCAGTTCTGCAGTCGATCTCCTACTCGAAGACAATGTCTCTCGTTGCCGTGTCTTTGTCGGATATTATCCTTCCGTCTTCGTTCCGTCGCTGCTGCAAAAAGGAAGTCCGAACGAAAACGGTCAACGAGATCGCCAAAACACCGTTTAGCTCCCCTCCTCCCGCCCTCGCGCCGCTCCCTTGGAGAGGGGCGGCCGCGCTGGCCTGGGCCGCGGTGCGCGACGCGTGAGCGGTATGAGGACGAGGAGGGGGAGGGGGAGGGGGAGGGGGAGGGGGAGGGGGAGGAGGAGGAGGAAGGAGGAGGAGGAGGAGGAGGATGAGGGAGGGAGGAGGAAGGAGAGGGAGGAGGGAGGGAGGAGAGGAGGGAGGAGGGAGGAGGGAGGAGGAGGAGGAGGAGGAGGAAGAGGAGGACCTCCGTTGTCGCCCCGCGGGCATGCTCGCGCTCGAATCTGGCGAAGATCGCCTGGGCAGGCTGCCAGTCGCATCGAGGGTCCGCCATCGCCGTCGAGGGTATCGGGCCCCAGGAGGCCCCCAGGAGGCTCCAGGAGGCCCCAAAGAGTGCCCCAAGTGGCTCCCAGAGGCCTCCTCCTCCCCTCCTGTCTCCTCCTCCTCCTCCTCCTCCTCCTCCTCCTCCTCCTCCTCCTCCTCCTCCTGGCACGGCCTGCGAGAGGCGCGGGATCCGGGAGTCTGCAGCCCTCACCGCCTCGCTCCTGAGGGGAGGGGAGCCCGCGAGGAAGAAGCCAGGGCAGGGGCCTTCGCGAGAAGATACACACGTCGAAGTGATGCCAGGCCGTTCGCCTCCTCCCTCGACCCGTTGAGCGCACAATCCAAGCCCCAGCGGGCCACCATGCCTGCACGTTTTGCGCTCGCCTTGGTCTCTTGCTTGCCGCATCGCCCAAATCGGTCTCACACCTTTGCCGCGTCAACGCTCCAGCTCGGTTGCTAATGTCGGCGCAACGTTCCTTTGGGGTATTCAATGAAGAGGCCATGGAAGGCTGCTTTAAGGCCGGACAGGAGCTGGGAGAGGATGGATCGGGGCGCCTTCGAAGCTGAAAGCCAAAGAGACGAGCATGCTTCGGACCCGCTCGCGAAAAGCCATGGGCAGACTTGATCAAGAGAACAGTATGGACGGGGGCAGGGAGAGAGTCACGGATGGGACGCAGAAGGACATTCAAGTACCATGCGCCCCTCGTGGATGCGCACGTCCAAACCAAACATATGGTACGAGCATGTTGTGGTATATCGCCACCTTGGCGGTATGGCCAGAAAGTGCCCGCCAGGGATCTCAACCGGGCACTAAGCCCGATTAGGGGGCCTTGAACTGAATTAGCCCAGATGAACCTGGGCTAAGCCCAGGAACAAGCAGGATTGCTAAGTGATTAACACTCGAAAGTAAGCCCAGGAGTAAGCCCAGGATTAAGCCCAAGACTAAGCCCAGGATTAAGCCCAGGATTAAGCCCAGGGTTAAGCCCAAGATTAAGCTGGACTGAGCCAAGGAGTGAGCGGGATTCGGCCATATCCATCAGAACAATGCCAAACTAGCCAGGTTTTCGGCCACGGATATACCGTATTACCAGCGCCGCATCGTGAGACACGCTTCCAACGGCGCCGCCTGGTGGCTCCGAGGTGGAACGCCGAGGGCCCCCGGCAGACATGCGCCTATCGTCGGAACTGCAGGCTGGGGGCTGAAGAAGCGATACTTGTGGAGGCCTGGAAATTGGCACTAACACCAGCACAGGAGGTTGCCTCCACGAGGGGAAGATGATGCTAGATTTCGATGTTGGTGGTAATATTTCGGCCACCTTGGAAGCCAGAACATTACCACCATCACCGAGATCGGGATCTTCTTCCCTCGGTGGAGGCATACCGCCGATCTTGGTGTTGGTGTCAACCTCTAGGCCTGCGATACCTCGCCGCCGAATTATGTCCGCATCCACTGCCGCGGGGTCGGGTCCAGGAGACTCGGGGAACAGTGGACATGGATATCTACAAGCACCGACTGGGCGGGCAGATGTTCATGTCACTGCCATCGCTCGGACGTCCACTCTCCGTGCGCGTTTCGGCTTCGTGAGTGCACTTCTTCGCAGGGTGGCCCAAGATGTTCCTCGGTCCTTTGCCGGGAAAGATGCGCACGTCCGAGCGATGCCAAGCATCCCGCCCGCACTGCTCGAGATCCCGAGGCACGACTCGGAAGCGGTGGATGCGGACATACTCTGTCGGCGGAAATGCGACGGCGATATCGACGCCGAGACGGGTTGGCCCGACCGCGCGGTGGTTATCCGTGCTGAGTAGCCAGAGTGAGCTGCCAACGGAGGCCTTGAAATTGTCGTCGTTGTTCCCCTTGAAAAGATGACTCCAATCAGGTGGCTGCGCATCGTCTTCCTGTTCAGGCAGAGCGCATGCAGCATGGCACGAGCAAGGTAGCCCGACTGGGCGCCCCCGAATTCTCTACGCACATGCTGCCCCTGCCTTCCCGCAATCCTCCCGAACAGACCCCAAATAAGACCAGCTGAAGCCTCCGACGTGCCTCAAAGAGGGAGGAGGGAGGAGGAGGAAGACGAGTTGCAAGCAACAACGAAGGAAAAAAATGAAGAAGCAAGAGCACGAGGCTGCAGACCAAGAGGGAGCGCGTTCAGACCCGCAACGGCTCAGACAGCACACTGCACTCCAGGCCACCTCACCTCGCGCATCGCGGGGCGAGCGGCTGTCTTCGCACCCTCGCGTCCCCGCGCCGCCCCCCTTGGAGAAGGGCAGCCGCTGCGGCCCAGACCACCACGAGTGAAGCGCGATGATGTTCGCGCCCCCGCAGGTTACATCGGAACCAGAGCGCGCCTTGAAGTCAGCCTAGAAGAACTCAACCTAGAAGAAGAAAAAACACCAAAAGTGTATGTTTCTGGTGTGTTTCTTCTTCGAGAACCGGAGCGCGCCTTGAACCCAACCTCATCCCTGCTGCGCTGCTGCACCCGAAAGATGGCGGGGTATCCCAGACATCCGCTGGTATGGCTTTTGTTCAATCCGCGGCCCCAGAGGGCCCCGACCCCTTCCCTGGGGGTGTTTTTTCGTCTCGGACCCATTTTTGATAGTCCCTGGGCCCGATAACGGGCCCCGGAAGCCGAAATCCAGGAAAAACGCCGAATTGAACAAATCATACCCTCGGATCTCTGGGTTTGCCGCGACCAACTGGGTACTGCCGACACCACAAGGGCGGCTTCCATGAAACCTCAGCCAACTCCGGCGCTCGTGGAGGTCGTCTTGGAGGCCCCGGTACTGGCCCAGGAGGCCCTAATCTAGGCGGACTCTCTCAAACGTTTGCCAGGCGTGAACATTCTCGCCGCATCGGTCGCAGGAGCGTCCAAGACGGCTCGAGAGTAGAGAGCAGAAAATCCACCCCCCTAACAAGCCTCCCGACAAGCGAAGCCGTTCAGTAAACGCACCAAGGGAAGGAATCGAACAGGACAGGGCTGTTTAGTCAGCGCCCAGGGCCGTTTAGCAAGCGCCGATTGTAGGGGTCGGGGTGGTTTCCCTCCCTTGAATTGGCGGCCAGCGAGGGGGGGAAAAGAGAAGGACCAGGCCTTCTCAGAAGCCCTCGCACCTCCTGAGAGTTTTGTCATGTCTTCGGGGAAGGCTCCGAAATCTTCGCAGCAGGCCGGGGGACTTCCGAACCTTCTGAGAGGGTCTTCTCCTTCTGACTTCCCCCCCTCGCTCACCACCGAGTGGGAGGAGGAGCAGGAGGACGAGGAGGAGGAGGAGGAGGAGGAGGAGGAGGAGGAGGAGGAGGAGGAGGAGGAGGAGGAGGAGGAGGGAGGAGGAGGAGGAGGAGGAGGAGGAGGAGGAGAAGCCCCCAGGACCAAACCAACACGGCCCAAGAGGCCCCCAAGAGAGGCCACCGAGCCCCGGAAGGCGGCCGCCGGGAGGGGCGCGAGCAGCGCGCCGCCGCCACGCCGCCGCGAGCCAATTCCTCTGGCATGCTCCCAAAGACCCCCAGGCCCCCAACTGGGCATCGCTCGGACGTCCATTCCCTGTGTCTTTGTTCGGTTTCGTGCGTGGCTTTTTCGTCAAATGATCAAGAATGCTCCTCGATGGTCCTCGCCGAAGGAAAAATGCACACGTCCGAGCGATGCCAAGCCAAGAAGG